TGTGTGTGGGTGTGTGTGTGTGTGTTGTGAATGCAACATTTTGCCTTTATCATATAGAACAGGAATGTGAAAAAAGACTGAGAAAATGGGATATGAAAGGCTGGATTTGAACCTGCGTCCTTTTGAACACACTTGTATGTTATGAGCACATGCACTACCCACTGTCCGTAGCTCCAATGAGGTCAGTTTTTTTTTTATTGGATGCTTAAGATTTCTTTAGAGACAGTTATCCTCCAATTGCTACCAACAACACAAAAATCCAAACAATGCATTACATGCAGCCAGTGAGGATAACTTAACCTCAGTTCTGATACCATCGGGACCGAAGAAGAGCTCCTTTCACAGGGAGAGGAATAGGATGAAGATAGAGTGAAAGAGAAGAACAAGGAAAGGGTGCCAGGAGCCTTCCTGTTATAACGTGATCAGGTTGATGGAGGTCAATGATAATGGCTGGAGACAGGTTGGGTTCATCCTTGCCTTTAAGACCCACAGCACAGTGATTAACAGTCAAACGCATGCATGCTCAGCGGAATAATCTGAGAGCTGCTGCTGAATGATAAATACAGGTTGGGCTTCGGCTGAGCGAGCGGCAGGGTCAGACGCAACAGCAACGTTTAGATATTGTGTTAAAAGTTGCTCTGTGAGACTGTCCTAATTCCAAAGAGCCTGACCTTCAGGCAATTATGAGAACGGTCATCGGCTACATTCAGACAGCAGCAGCAGTCAGCCAGCCCAGCCCGTTGGGAGAACTAAAATGAGTAATGAGTATGAAAGAAAATGACAGCCGCATTATTCCTATTATATTACACACGTTTTCAGACGTCACAAATATATTTTGAGAGTGAGTTCAGCTGATGTGTGCTGTATTAACAGAATGGCAACTGACAGTGTCATGTCATTAATATATGTATGAAATAGGTACGTGCTTCCTGGGTTACACTGTCGTGACAGTTGACGTGTTGTGTTGTGTCGCACCGCACTGCGCTGCAACAGCTAAAGTCTGTCTACACTGGAAGCAACAAAGCGAGCGTTGCAGATCATTTGAACTTTGTGTCAGTACGTTATAAATAGATTGAGACATCAGTTGCGCCGCATCCAGTGTAGATCTAAATGGAACTTTCGATGCAGCTTTTTTGTTTCCTCTGCCTTGGAAAGAGAATTAATCATAATTAATAATTAATAATTTATGCATTTTGCAGACGCTTTTATCCAAAGCGACTTACAGTGCATTCAGGCTATACATTTTTTTACCAGTAAGTAAAAAAAAAGAAAAAAAAAAAGAAAGATATTTATTGATACTGATTTCATTTGAATGGTAACAACCATACAGTGCCTTATTATTCTAACTGAATGTATTGATAAAAATTGTAGAATTTGACGTAAATGATGACACGTACATTTAATAAGGTTAGGAAAATATTGCCCTTCATAAAGTTAAAAAGTGTCCTAGAAATCAATTTAAGGCAAGCACATGTCAAGACTTAATGTGGAGCCCTATACATATATATGCCATGCTGTTAATTTAATTTTCATTTACAACTTTCATTTATTTTTTTTCTCTGTATATGCATTTGATGTTTGCTGCGAGTTTCAGATGACAATTCCACATTCAAAGTATGACAAACAAAGATATTTACTATCTTTATCTGTTAACATGGTTTCAGGCATTGCTCAAGGCTAGTTAGTGAAGGAGCATGACTTTGGTTAAGTGTTCATATATATATATATATATATTATCTGTTCTGCAGTTGTTTACATACAGGACAGTTAGTGAGTTACAACAGCTCGGTTTTCAGTCCCAAACACTGACGAAGGGTACAGTATGTAGTCAATGCGATGTGTGGGATAAAGAAGAATATGGCTGTGTTGTGCTGTTTTTAACTATTTTTATTATATTTTTGGTGTGCTCAAATGCACCACCTGTTAAACTGCAAATAGCTTTTGTGTTACAAGGGAGGTTATGTAACAGAGAATTGACCACGCCTCTTTCTTTTTTCTCCTTCCTCCCCTCCAATTCCTTCATATCCCTCCATAGCAGCAGATGGTGAGGATCCGACTTCAGCAGGTGGGATATATCTACATATGGTAATTGTTGTGATCCCCTCATTTGGCTCCTGTATCTCTCTTTGTTGCACTTCCTTCTACTGTTGTCAGTTTCGGCATGTGCAACCTTCCCTGCATGAAATGCACACGTCTATTTTAGAGCTCTTCCCTTACCTGTTTCTTCACACCTTCTCAAGATCTCTTCTGATGTCACATCATCCTTGCTGTGTTATTCTGTCTTCTCACCATGACGTTGATACATAGAGTATCTCGAAACCTGCTGCAGAACCCCCTCTGCTTATGATATATCACCCAGTCTCATTTCAAATGCTGCTATTCTGATCGCTCGCTCGCAATCGAATTTGGTTGCCGTCACTGTTGATATATTTTCTTGCTTTTTATAAATTTTAATGCTTGTACACATTTGGCACTGTGCATACACATTCATGCACACACACACACACACACACACACACATACATATTCCGGTAATATAAGGTGTTTGCTTTTCTCCACCTCCTTGGCTCCTCAGTATCCCACCCATTGATCCCTCTCATCGCACCTGGTCAGCACTTACTCTCAAGCCCACTGATCTCTGTGAGCGGAGCTGCTTTCAAGAGTGCTCAGACTCTTCTCTCCTGCCTCGTTGTTTTATTGGGTTCCAAGCTTTCAATAAAAATGCTCCAGCCCTCCTGTCTTCACGTTCCTGGGTGTTCCTCTCACATTGTGAACAAGATGCCCATCTGTTGCTCTCTGTCACCATAGACAGTTTCAGATAGACTTTTGTGTAAATTTAGATTTTTATGAGGTAGATCATTAATCATGATTCAGATTCTCTTGGGCCACGTTCTCACAGCAGCAGAATATGGTTGTCAGTCCTGTATTTGAGTCCTTAATACAGTTACATTCACACACGGTTATTTAGGGGCATGACAACTGCATTCTGTAACCGAACTCACAACCGCATTCTCAGAAAACATGCGCTGTGTGAACGGAACAGGACTGGAAAACGTACTCAGTTACTAACGTAACCTCGGTTCCCTGAGATACGGGAACGAGTACTGCGTCTTGCTAGACGCATATGGGAAAAAAGCCTTTTTTGTCCGTGACGCCACGCATGGGATGGAACCCGTGGTTTCAACCAGCGTTGAAGGGGGCGCATATGCAGCAGACCCAACTGTAACACTGGAGATGCTGCTGCCATGAGGCCCAGCATCCTTTGAAACGCTTTGAGAGGGCGAGCAGTACCGATCTTGAAGGAGGTCACCAGCCTCCGTATGGCCAGAGCTCGTTCTGGCGTGACTACAGCTTTCATTTGGGCTGAGTCGAAGATTGTTCCCAGGAACGAGATTCGTTTGCTGGGAAGCAATGAGCACTTGGCAAAATTGACCCTGAGTCCCAGGCACTCAAGGTGGCTGAGGAGGAGGGCTCTGTGAGATATTAATTCTGCCTCCGACTGGGCCAGGACGAGCCAGTCGTCGAGGTAATTGATAATACGGACTCCCATCTGTCTCAGAGGGGAGAGAGCCGCATCCATCTGGCCGAGCGAGAGCGTCCCCGTGTCTGCTGCGCTTTAGCGGGCTGAACAGCGGGGGCGGCAGGTGCTGGTTTCGCAGGCTGCTGAGTCGGCGCAAATTTTGGGCGAGCTGAGACAGCAGCGGAGCCGGAGCGCTTAGGCAGGAAATGTCGCATAGCCTGGGACGATTTCTGTGCCTCTGTGAAGCGTTCAGCAAATCCTTCGACCGCTGGGCCGAAAAGGCCCTTGGGGGAGACAGGAGCATCGAGGAAGGGGATCTTATCCGCGTCCTTCATCTCCGTCAGCGTCAACCATAAATGGCGCTCGAGCACCACAAGGCTGGCTCATCTAGGGGAGGTGGCTTATCGTACCCTTTTTCTTCAGAGCCGTCGATGGAAGTGAGGGCGGATGAAGAGGCAGTACGGAGGCGTGCGGAGGAGGGAGCGCGCCACGATCTGGTGAGCTCGTCATGGACCTCCGGGAAAAACGGAGAAGTGCAACAACGCCGATGCTCTTTTAGAAGTCGCTGGATGGCGGCAGGGGAACCGGACCGGAACTGCTGCGTCGCTGGAGAAGCGAGGAAGCAGGTCAGCGTTGTCTGTCACATCATACAGTGCGAGAAAGAGCTACTCTGCTGCACAAACGTGTTTCTACCGTGTATTGCGTGTTTTCATGGTTTGTGAAACGTTTGAGTGTCTATACAATGGAAGAAAGTCAGTCATATAGGTTTGGAAAAACATGAGGGTGAGTAAAAGATGACAATTTTCATTTTAGTGTGCACTATTCCTTAAATTTAATTTCTTTAGCTTCTTCCTTTCAGTCTGATATAATCAAAAGCCGATGTGCTCTTGTAACTGAATGGCAGGACCTCCATTCCTGCAGCTTTATTTAGTGTTATGGTTTCTCCCATTCACATTTGTATGAGTAGGCCATCTTCTCTACCTCAACCAGACTCTGTGGTTACTTAAATGCTTTTCTCTAAGAACCACACTATGTATATTGCAGCTGTCATATCCTATCCAAAAAACTGTCACTTCATATTAGTTTAGCATCCAAAGTGGCTTTTTAAGCCTTTTTTAGAATTTCAGATTAGTTCTGCTAACTCTTCAGCCAGCCGTGCTTTATATTGATGCTACCAGCTTAATGCTACTGTATGTTCTATAGTTTACACTTACCAACATCTATTGGTTTCTCCAAGCAAGTTCTGATCTTTGATGTACATAAAAGCCTGTAAATGACACTGCTCACAATTAAATTATGCTGTCATCTTACTGATTTTTTTTATTTCATGCTGTGTATGCTGCTGTCCTAAATAAATTATTCTTTACCACAAGATGGTTTTAACCTTGCTTGCTTTGTTAAATCCAAAAAACTTAATAGTTTAACAGTAGTTCGTTGTTGATAATTTCCATTTTATATTTTATCATTTAGGAAAAACATAAAATTGGGAAATACTGTCCTAAATGATATATTGTGGATAAAAGGAAGGCGTGCACCCAAAGAAAGATGTCTTCATCGAGAAAATAAAAATGCTTTATGAAATTGTTATTAATCTGATTTGTTTATATGTGTTTTGACAGATTTGAAGAATGTACATGCATCTTCATTTGACATGAGTCTCTGCATGTGGACCACAATCAGAAAAACAATCCACAGAGCAGATGAACTTTAGATTGTTTTTTGGGATCGTTTGGATTGGTTTCAGATCTAAAGCTCACATATAATCTGGCATTATTTTGTATTATTTCATTTTCCATAATCCACAAGGGTTAGAGCAATGACCTCATTGGGTTCTTCAGGCCTGAAGCATTTCAGCATTGAATTGAGATTTTAAACCTAGAATTATGACCTGTTGAAGCCAAAATGATACATTTCATGGGGATGGTAAGTACATGCAGTAGTGCTCCTGCATGTGTGTGTGCATCATTATTGCATTCATTGGTATACGTGTGGCGTGTGACACTTGAACCAGTGGCTCCTGCAGTATACTGTTCAAACAAGACCCCAGGCTGTCAGCTTAATATTATGTTACATGTTTGATATAAATATATAGATTAAACTAGACCAAAAGCATTATTAATAGGTAATCATTTATTCCCCTAGATGCATTTATTCTTATTACAGCACCCTATTACACCCTATTATTCCTATTACAGCTATTTGTTTTTATTGTCTTGCCAAGTTTGTGAGAAAGAGGTAAATGGGAAGCAGATTTATTTTTGTACCACATGTCTTTTTTACTGTATGAACTCTGTTTGCAGTAAGGCAGATATCACAGACCATACTGGCGTATCTTTGTGTTTCAAAAGGGGCAAAAATGAAGCTGTATAAGCTCTTTAGACCGTATGTCTTATTGTACTTGAACACTGCAGAATGCGAGGGCTATGATTAACCAAATGAGAGGTGACACTCAGTATGAATAAAATTTCAGAATTTAAAACACAATCTGAATATCAGCTCCTCTTAGTTTTGCCTTATTAGATCAGAACAGTTCTCTTGTATTTCTTAACTGCGTCACTGTGCTTTTCTCTATTCTTTGTTCAATTATGATTTTGATATGTACATTTTATATGGAGATGGAGAATATTCATCGTAGCCCACTGGGCCCTTATTAGTGTAGTTGCTATGGAGGAGCGTGTTGCATGAATAATACACTTTCTTCTTCCTCCTGGGGAGTTTGAGTGATAAAGCGGTAGCGAACATTAGTATGCCATAACTAAAGGTGGGACTGAGTTCACCGGCCAATATTATGACCCCTCCATCAGACACTGACATGCTAAAAGCCCTCTTTTCTAAATGCCCTGCTTTTGGCACGAGCACATTTTTTTGTAATCCGAGAAACATTATTTCAATATGCTGTGTTGTGCATTTCAACTTTGAAATGGAAAGAGGTGACTTCTGTTTTCATGCAGGTCCTGCTTTAATTGTTAGCATCAAATGGCTGGCAATAATTTGAAGGCTTTATTATAAACGTGGCCTTTTGAAAGGCTCAGCATGTTCAATCTCAGCATAAAGACATGTTCTGTAAGCAGGTTGACAGCATAGCATTTGCCGTATGTTCTAAAAGAAAAACAAAATGGCTGGAAAACATTTGACACGTTAATCGGTCTTATGAAACATGCATAAACATTTCTACATTAAAATAAACACATTAGCTGGCTCTTTTATTTTCAATAAAAAACATACACAGCAGGTAACTAATGAGGAAGGACTTTTACTTTTACCTTTAATCTTAAAATGAGCCTTATTTGTGCTTGTGAGGAAAAAATAACTAACAAACTCATTATTTAACTTCTCAGTGTAATGAGCATTGCTTAATCTTATCTGTCTTGTTATATCTTCAGAAAAAAAATGTGCATACAGTACATACAGTATACTCACATAAATCAATATGTATTAAATAGCAAATTTTGACTGCACGATTGTGTATATCACCGCAAAATGTAAACTGTATTATTGCACAGCTCTCCATATAAAGTTAGATATGTATAATTTCCAAATGTATC